GTTAGAGATTCATGAGTCTAACAGCCTCAGGGTAGAAGCTGTTCCTCAGTCTAGTGGTTCTACACTTAATGCTCCTTAACCTCCTTCCTGAGGGGAGTGGGGCAAAAAGTGTGTGTGCTGGGTGGGTGGGGTCCTTCATGATGCAGGTGGCCCTCTTCCTGCATCTGGAGGTGTAGATGTCTGTGATGGTGGGGAGACTGATTCCAACAGATTTCTGTGCAGCCTTCACCACTCGTATACAAACCGGATTCCAAAAAAGTTGGGACACTGAACAAATTGTGAATAAGAACTGAATGCAATGATGTGGAGGTGCCAACATCTAATATTTTATTCAGAATAGAACACAAATCACAGATCAAAAGTTCAAACTGAGAGAATGTATCATTTTAAGGGAAAAATCTGTTGTTTCCAAATTTCATGGCGTCAACAAATCCCAAAAAAGTTGGGACAAGTCCATTTTTACCACTTTGTGGCATCCCCCCTTCTTCTTCCAACACTCAACAAATGTCTGGGGACAGAGGAGACCAGTTTCTCCAGTTTAGAAATAGGAATGCTCTCCCATTCATGTCTAATACAGGCCTCTAACTGTTCAATCGTCTTGGGCCTTCTTTGTGGCACCTTCCTCTTTATGATGCACCAAATGTTCTCTATAGGTGAAAGATCTGGACTGCAGGCTGGCCATTTCAGTACCCGGATCCTTCTCCTACGTAGCCATGATGTTGTGATTGCTGCAGAATGTGGTCTGGCATTATCGTGTTGAAAAATGCAGGGTCTTCCCTGAAAGAGATGACGTCTAGATGGGAGCATATGTTGTTCTAGAACCTGAACATAGTTCTCTGCATTAATGGTGCCTTTCCAGACATGCAAGCTGCCCATGCCACAAGCGCTCATGCAACCCCATACCATCAGTGATGCAGGCTTCTGAACGGAGCGTTGATAACAACTTGGGCTATCCTTGTCCTCTCTGGTCCGGATGACATGGCGTCCCAGTGTTCCATAAAGAACTTCAAATCGTGACTCATCTGACCACAGAACAGTCTTCCATTTTGCCACACTCCATTTTAAATGACCCCTGGCCCAGTGCAAACGTCTGAGCTTGTGGAGCTTGCTTAGAAATGGCTTCCTCTTTGCACTGTAGAGTTTCAGCTGGCAACGGCGGATGGCACGGTGGATTGTGTTCACTGACAATGCTTTCTGGAAGTATTCCTGAGCCCATTCTGTTATTTCCTTGACAGTGGCATTCCTGTTTGAGGTGCAGTGACGTTTAAGGGCCCGGAGATCACGAGCATCCAGTAGAGTTTTACGGCCTTGACCCTTACGCACAGCGATTGTTCCAGATTCTCTGAATCTTTTGATGATGTTATGCACGGTTGATGATGATAACTTAAAAGTCTTTGCTATTTTATGCTGGGTAACACCATTCTGGTATTGCTGCACTATCTTTCTGCACAACAATGGTGGAATTGGTGATCCTCTTACCATCTTGGCTTCTGAGAGACACTGACACTCTGAGAAGCTCTTTTTATACCCAATCATGTTGTCAATTGACCTAATTAGTATTAATTGGTCTTCCAGCTGTTCGTTATAGGCTCAATTTCCTTTTTCCAACCACTTATTGCTACTTGTCCCAACTTTTTTGGGATTTGTTGACACTGTGAAATTTTGAATCAACATATTTTCCTTTAAAATGTTACATTTACTCAGATTAAACTTTTGATCTGTCATCTATGTTATATTACGAATAAAATATTGACATTTGTCATCTCCACATCATTGCATTCAGTTTTTATTCACAATTTGTTTAGTGTCCCAACTTTTTGGAATCCGGATTGTAGTTATATATAGACATATATAATAGATAGATAGATAGATAGATAGATAGATAGATATACACACACACCTTTAATTGAGGAGTTTTGATACCTTCATTAATGTATTGTAACTTTAAAGATGTAAACACTGACAGTTTTGTTTACTTACTTTAATGTTGTTTAACTTAAAAAAGTTTTCCATGTTTTTTTTACTTTGTGTTTACATAGACACACTAACTAATCCATTTAAACATGTCAGCAAGTTTTCAATATATCATTGTTTACTGAAAACATTAAGAAACAACTGTTTGAATAATTAATGTGTTCTAATTGGTTATCAGGGGATTGGATAAGAGGTGGGGAGTTTTCTTACACTTCAGAGAATGTCATCAATTTAAAAATAATGTTATAATTTGCATAACCAACAACTTGAAGTCTAATAAAACATTTTATGACTGTATTTTAAAGTAATTTTAAAATAAAAAAACAAAAAAAATGTAAATATTGGTGAGTGTATTTAATCCTGCAAAGATGCAGCAACTGGTTAATAAAATATGTTAGAATGCTAAAAAAAAAAAGGCCACGTGACTGAATTGCAGTGATACATCCTATATACTATCCATCCATTTTCTTTACCCGCTTATTCCATTTTGGGTCACGGGGGTCGCTGGTGCCCATGTCCAGCAATCACTGTGGGAGGGGCGGGGGACACCCTGGACAGGTCTCCAGTCCATCACAGGGACACATAGAGACAAACGAGACAAACAACCATTCATTCTCTCACTCACACCTAGGGACAATTTAGAGTTACCAATCAGCCTAACATGCATGTTTTTGGTCTGTGGGAGGAAACTGGAGCACCCGGAGAAAACCCACGCATGCACGGAGAGAACATGCAAACTGCACCCAGAAAAGCCCCCGGCAGGGATTTGAACCAGGGACCTGCTCGCTGAGAGGCAGCAGCTCTACCAGTTGGGCCACCGTGCTGCCGCATAATATTAATTGTATTTCTTTATTAAAAGCAGTAAATAGCATTGTTTAAACAAGCTAGTAAGATTAGTAAAATGTCATTTCAATTATATTTCCCAATAAAATGAAAAACAAAATGTGAACGATTTTACCATTTGTGACATTATATTAGTGATCATTTTCAGTAATATTCACCTCAAAACACATTTTGAGTTTCATGTACTGTTGGAAAGAGGTTCTTAGCTTTCTAAAGACATCACTATATTGTTGTTATACAGTAGTCCCTTGCTACTTGGTGGTTCGTTTATCGCGGACTTGCTTTATCGCTGTTTTTCAAAATTATGATTGGACATGACACACAATTGGTTGATTTATGGATGAGCCGCATGATCAGCATGTAATCTTTATTTAAAATGAATTATTTTAAATTATTTAGCACCTCCTGCACCTTTGTGCAGCCCATATTGCAGGATAAATTTCCTCCTGCAGCTGATCAGCTGTTCTCCACAAAGCGAAGATGTGGGCGTGGCCAAGAGCGCTTGCAGGTGGCCGAG